TTTTTCCCCTTTGGTCGGCCATGCCTTCTTTTTGTTAAGGGTTCTGAGCCGGAGGTTAGTTCGCTATCGGTCAACTCCTTTTCGTTTTGCTCGTTGCTCTCGTCAGTTTTAGGGATTGCTGCGAACAAATTATAGAGGTCCAAGTCTTCCACGTTAAACTCGCATTCCTCCGTCTCGTCAATTTTTGGACATTGCTTTTCGTCGTGACAAGGGCGTAAATCGCAAACGGTTACCTTGCCTATGTCAGTACCTTCTTCGGTGCTAAGCTGGTAAGATTTCATTCCTACGCGAGCTGTAACGACAAAAGGTCCTGCGAATTTCGGGCTTAGTTTTGCTGCGATTTTCATTGCGGCCGAGGAAAGTAGGCGGTTTTTGGCCCATACCTTATCTCCGACGCGATATTCTACGTTCCTTCGCTTGACGTTGTAATATTTCTCTTGGCGATCTTGCGCCATTCGCGTATTTTCAAGTGCTACTGTGCGAAAATCTCCTAGTTTTTCCAGCTTCGCATGCCAATTCTCTATGGCGGCGGCTTCGAGGTTTCGGATCATGTCTCTGTCTTCCGCTCTCTTCTTAGAGTGAGGAAGGTCGGGATGCCGTCCGTAATTGAGAAAAGCTGTGCTAGCGCGCGTTGCTTCGTGAATAGCTGTGTTATACGCAAAGGCGAATTCCGTGTTGTGAGCATCCCAGGTTGATTTTCTTGGATGAACGCGCTGATCATGGTTTTTATCGTGCGGTTCACTCTCTCGGTTGGGTTGCTCTTTGGCGAGTACGGCGCACACGTGCCGTGGACAACGCCGAACGAGTCCAAGAACTTGTCTACCAATTTGTTTTTGAATGGAGTCACATTTGTCCGATAAAAACTTATCAGGCATTCCAAATCGCAGGAATACTCGCTCCTTCAACTCGCGTCTAATCGCTCTCCCGTTGGCTTTGCGTAGCGGGATACACTCAATCCAGCGAGTGAAGAGGTCGATGAAGATTAATAGATGCTCATAGCCTTGTGCTGACTTAGGAAAAGGGCCCATAGTGTCGCCCGCCACGATTTCCCAGGGCCGTGTGACTAGGTGCCGTCCCATCAGTCCTGCTGGAGCAACTTGCTCCACTTTAGTCTTTTGGCAAACGAGGCAGTTACGAACGTAGTGAGCTACATCTCTGTGTATGCCAGGCCAATAGTATTTAAGCGCGGCTCGCTTTTGGGTCTTATAGCGCCCTAGATGTCCTGCGGTAAGACTATCATGACACTCTGATAAGACTTGAGCTCTCTGTTCTCGTGGAAGTACTAGCTTCCAAGCATCTTCATCTGTACCCATCAAATCGTCCACGATAATGTCAGGTTTGTAAATATATAACTTATCTCCTATATACTTCCAATATGGGTCTTTAGTGGGATTCTCTTGAACTTTTTGCACCTATTTCAAGTACCACGGGTCCTTGACTTGCGGAGACGCTTTAAGCGAAGCTAGGCAAGCGATGGTAGTTTCTTCATCCACTTCGTACATTCGCGACAAAGCGTCTGGAACTACTTTGTGTTTTCCTCTTCTATGTATGATGTCGAAGCTGTAGGACTGTAGACTCAGCGACCATCGTCCTAGCTTGCCGTACGGATGTTTTAGGTTCCGCAACCATTTTAGATTGTAATGATCGATTATCACGGTAAAGTGATATTCTTCTATATACGGTCTGAACTTTTCGACTGCCCATATTACAGCGAGGCACTCCCTTTCTGTGGCCGAAAGCCTTCGCTCGGTGGTACTGAGTGCTCGACTGGCGTAGCAAAGTACTCTGTCTTCGTCTCCGACGTGCTGCAAGAGTACACTGCTTAATCCTGTATCGCTGGCGTCACATTCTATAATAAATGGAGCCGTAAAGTCTGGCCTAGCCAAGACGGGGCCAGTAGCGATCAGGCCTTTTATGCGCTCGAAAGCGTCTTGCTGCGTCTCTGTCCATTCGTATTTAGTGTCTTTCTTAGTTAAAGTGGTAAGCGGGTCCGCTATGCTCGCAAAGTCGGGCAGGAACTTCCGATACCATGACGCCATTTCTCAAAACCTACGCAATTGCTTGAGATTCTTCGGCGGCGGATACTCAATAATGGGCCGAACCCTTTCAGGATCAGGACGAGTCCCGTCCCTGTTGACTAGGACACCTAAATATCGGACTTCAGTCATACAGATGCGTGATTTCTTTCTGTTGATGGTTAGCCCTGCTTCTTTAATCCTCTCAAGGATATGCGTCAGCCATTTTAAATGATCTGTATAGGTTTCTGTCGCTATAATTAGGTCATCGATATAGGCGAAGGCATAAGGCTCCATCTCGGGCGTAATTAGCATATCCGCTAATATTTGAAAGGTTGCTGGTCCTCCTGCAACTCCATAGGGCATTCTTACGAATTCATATAACCCTAGGCCAGGGACTGTAAAAGCGGTAATCGGCATCGATCGCTCCGTAAGAGGGATCTGATGGAAAGCTCCCGAGCAGTCCAGTGCGCTAATGTACTTAGCGTGCTGCAACTTTCTCAAGATCACGTCCATATAGGGAAGCGGGTAAGCGCTCACCTTTGATACCGCATTGACCTTTCGATAATCAACGCAAAAGCGATACGATCCGTCGGGTTTTCGAACCATGACGACTGGACTCGACCATTCGCTTTTCGAGCGTCGAATTATATTTGCCTCTAGCATCTTGTATACTTGCGCATGCATTTCCATTTCGATAATATGAGAAACTGGGTAATATTTTTGTTTGATAGGCTGGGCTTCTCCGACGTCTATGTCGTGTTTGATCCATGACGTACATCCAATGTGGCTATGATGAGTTTCAGGTAAAACTTCTTCTACAATTCGGTCGATTTCTGCGCGTTGCTCCTGGTTAATCTCTTCAATGCCTAAAGAGGACAGGGCAAGCGACTGATCTGGGTCGATGAGACTATACGTGTCTCTAAAGATAACATTTTTATCTTGTCTAGTAACTTTCAAATTACTATTGATATCTGTTATCGTTTTTATTTGATTATTTAGACTGTAAACTGTGTTTTGCAGTTCAGCGTTTTCGCTTTTGAGTCTTGATAAATTTTTCTCTAGCTCGTCGACCTTCTCTTTTAACGTTTTTGTTGCAATTAAAGCTCCTTTCAGCTCTTTTGTGCCTTCCTTGAGGGTAGCGTCTTTCTTTCGCTTGAAGCGACAAATTATCGATTGTCTCAACAAAATCTTGCGCGGTATAATCGCCTTGTAACTGCCTGTATAATTTATTAGCACGTTCGTACATTGAGCCATCATTGTTGAGCTCAAGGTCGTTTAAGACTGAATTTAATGTATCACTAGGTAGTGTTTTAATCCATTCTTTTATTCTATTATTTACTTCTGTTTTAAAAATAGTTAAATTAGTTATGTCCGACATCTTGTTTTTATTTATTATTATTTATCTTCAGTTTTATATTCTTCTATTTGTTCTTGATAATTTTCTTTTATTTGCTTTCTTCTTTTTAAGATTATTATTTTATTTATCTTAATACATTATTATTATATTTTAGTTTGGCGTTGTACGACGGTATCGGTATATAATAATATATAATAAAATAAAATGTTATTAAATAATAGAGCGCTTCGTAAAATGTATAAATATATAGATAGGTTATATTACAATCGAAATCAATTTATCGGGAATTGATATGCATACACAAATAATCGTTTTGTGATTTTCGCTTATACGTGAGATGTATATGCGTAAACGCTTGTATTCGCCAGTGTCCAGGCTGTTTCTTATATCACAGTAAATACATGTGAGTTAGCGTCGTTCGCTTAGCTCACGCTATTCCGATAGAGTATGTCTGTACGACATAAACACTTTATGTTTTTCGGCACGAGTTTTCGTATCACAAGCAAAAGTGTCTTGCTTGTTTCCTTACTGGTGTTTACATTCGCTGGCTTGGTGAGTCTCTTTATTTTTTCTTTGTTTCCGCGAAGGTTATCTTTGCATCAAGTTTCCTGAGAATTTGATATGCACGTTGGGCGCTAAAATATAACGGGGTTTTAGCTCGAGCTCTTTTCGGGCTAAATCTTCAATCTAACATCCCAAATTTTTCATGCAAAATTGAAATGATTGTACCCTTTGATACCCCTGTGGCCTCAACTAATTCTTGCAATTTTAATCTTCTATCACTCAACACCATATCGTGGATTTTGTTGACCATTTCGGGCGTACTCACTTCTACGGGGCGTCCTGAACGATGTTCATCTTTTGTTGTTGTACGGCCGCGTTTAAATTCATCTACCCAGTTATAAACAGTCTTAAACACAGGGGCAGACTTGCCATGAACGGCGTTCAGCTCAACTGTGATTTCTTTTGGTATAAGGCCTTTCAAATGAAAATGTTCCATCACCGCTCGAAACTCTGTTTTTTCTATTTTTCAAATAAACCAATAACTTTGTCTTCAACCAACGCTCACAAAAAAACGACTTAATGAATCGAGCTGAAACTTTGTACGATATCTAGTTAGTTGTATTGCTTGCCAAAAACATCATAATTTAAGCGTGGCGAGCACCATCTCTTGGATTTTGTGAACACTTATTGACCCCCCCCTCGTAAACCAGATCAAATTAGATTTTGAATGTCATTTACTTTCGGGATTCTTTTGTTTTTAAAAAAATGTTGACTACCATAATGTCAAAACACTAGATTTACGCAACTTGTTCTATTAATAAATAAGTTAAAATTATATTTAGTACTTTAAAATTACATATTTGGTACTTTATTATTTTTCTGAAAACATAAATATATTGTTGAGAATGTGTAGAATTCACAAGCACTTTATGAAATATATTGCCATCAATGCTAGATTTTAGTACATAAATTATGCATTAAAAAGGTATAAGCTAAATCAAAATTATTTAGTTTTTTACTCATAATCTCTTTAAACAATTTTTTCTAAATAATGGTTATGCCTAAGCAATTTGTCAAATTTTGTGTTTTGTATTTTTTTAATAGAAAAATTTTCTTAATAGCTGGAAAAATCAAAGTATTATGGAAACGAGGTTGGATTAAAATGCCTGAGATTATGGTCTCAACTGCTGGTGCTTTGATTGGGATCTGTTTGTCCATAGGTACCTATCTATACAAGGACAGCCACCACGGATGGAATCAAAAATATGTATCTAGATATATGGGTAATAATTATTTTTAATTTTTTTTTATTTTTATATGAAATATATTGTTTTTTTATATAATTGTTGAAGAAAAAATATAATCAGAGTATTATAATCATATGCTACAGTGTTTTGAACGAAATAATTCCAATAAATAAGTTTTATAATTTTTATTTTATGTTTGAAGCAAAATAAACAATATTTTAGATTGGTTTAATAATAAAAAGATACTCGTCAGTCACGCAACTATTTATACTTAATTGAAACGTCAAAATATGATAAATGATTTTGTGACGCTTCGTAACTTGAAAAAAATGAAGATCATCAATTTTATAAAATTAACTCTTTGCAAAATAAAATAAATGATCTTTTTCCATTGGAATGATTTCAAAACATTTTACAACTTATTGGTAACTATTTATACATAACCAAAACGTACGATTAAGGTATTTTGAGTTTATGTAGTAACAAACACTTCCCTGTGAGAACAAATTGAGTAAAAGACAACAAATCACTGCACAAACTGTTCGCAACATCAACGAAATTGTATTTAAATTTGAAATGAATCAAAAGAACAAAAAACGTGTTGAGATTTCTGAGTCATAATCAGTTAAAAGAGCGACAGTTATTAAACAAATGAACCTTATACATTATCAACTGAACTATAGTTACATGCAAAATTATCCGGCCAATCATAATTTTATAATTAACTGTGGTTGAAATAGTATAAAATGATAACTTTCATATACTGTTATAAAATACATTTATTGTGCTACATTACTACATAGTTAGATAATTAAATATAACAATTAATAATTATTTATAATGTGACGAGAGCAAGCAGTACGCTTGCTCCTCGTCTGCCCTCCTTCTCTCTCTCCCTCTTATCGCTCGGCATGGCGACGTGGTCAGCGTTCGGCGCATATATTTATTGCGCCTAACCACTGGCCTTTATGTTTTTCCAGCCGCCGAAGATTGCCGAGCAAGATTGAGAGCGCCCGAAGAAGCAAGAGCGCAACGACTATGAGGTAGAGAGAGACAAAGAGACCGAGAGAGAGAGAGAGAGAGAGAGTTAGCGAGCATGCTAGAGTGCGCGTCTATGCACGCACTATGCAGGTTCGGGCCGGCGTGTGACGCGCGATCAATTAGCGCTTTTGTCGCACGCCGCCTAATGAGTGGGCTTGGTGGGAGAGCCCGGCGAGAGCGCGAACGCTGACCATGCGTCAAGTCGCGTAAGGCAGTTCCCGGAAGAAAGCTAAGGAGAGAAGTTGGAAGTAGCAGCGCAAAGAGAGAAGAAGAAGTACACGTGCAGGAGTGACCAGACCAGGGCGAGCCGAGGCAACGTGTGGCGGCAACACCTGCAGCAGGGCATTCAGTGTCGCCCTCGCCGCCATGCACGGCATGACTTCCAGGGGGTTCACCACGGGCTACGCCGAGGAAGACGTCCAGCCAGTGGCCAGGTCAATTCCCCGTTGCCGGCTCATCGCCAAGGACAAAGGTCAGGTTATCTCTCTCTCCCGGTATTTCTCTCTCTCATGGTGAGGTGCGGCCGCGTAGGAACGATAGGTAGCCAGGCGATCACTTGCCGGCTACGCTCATCGTAATGCGGTAGAGAGGTTTCGACGTATTCTTTCCTTTGTGAGGAGGCAAATGGCCAAGGCGATTTAGTCGCCGGGCCATTCGTCCTCCCGCGTTAGTTTAAGTTGTTCTGTATATGTGCGCGTGATGTAAACTTTATTGTAACCGATTTTGTATTTGTTTGTCTGAATAGATTTAAGTTGTATGTTCCAAGTAAGGAAAATTATTTATTCGTTCGACCTATCCTCTCGTTCCCCGATTGTTAAAGAGCGAAAGTGCCTCTCTTACTCTCCCCTTAATAAATTAGTGACGTCAGTGCCGAATAAGGCGCTGCCCCCGTTACAATAACAAAAAAAAGTTTTTGATACTTCATAAATATCCGGCCAAAATTTATAATAGTATTTATTAATCAGGAAATAATGTCTTTCGCTCCGTGTGATATGTAAACATTGAGTACGCTATTTATTCTGTATTATCCGATCAGTTATCATTCATCAATATGCCGAAATGGACGTCATTAGACAAACGTGTATTGGTTTTGAAACTACTCAATGAAGGTAAAACTTCACTTGAAATATCGGCAGCTTTAGCTATAGGAAAATCAATAGTTAGTGATATACTCAAAAAATTTGAGACTACTGATGCTGTAAAAGCTAAACGCAATTCTGGGTGACCTAGAAAAACGACTGAGCGTATTGATAAAGTGATAAAAAGACAGGCTGTCTCAGATGTGAAGAAAAATGCTGCTATTATTGCACGTGAATTATGCGAAGAACATGTAGCTGACATTAGTCAAAATACCGTGTCTCTAAGACTAAACGAAGTAGAACTTCGTTGGTCTGCGTTGCTCTTAAGAAACCATTGATTAGTAAGAAAAGTAAGAACGCCAGACTAGAATTTGCTACAGAACATCGGAGCTGGACTGTTGAAGACTGAAAAAGTGATGTTTTTGGATGAAACTAAAATCAGTTTATTTGGAAAAGATGGGAGAAGATATGTTCAACGACCTAAAGGTACCAGAAATGATCCACAATATCTAACACCAACCGTGAAACGGCGGTGGCGGAAACATCAGGCTATGGGAGCTTTCTCTTGGAAAGGCGCGGGTCCAATTTTCAAAATTGACAGCATTATGGACTCTACCAAGTATAGGGATATTATATTAGATGTAATGCTGCCTTATGCACGTAAAAAAATTCCAAGAGCATGAATCTTACAACGGGATTATGATCCAAAACATCGATCACAGCTCCTCCAACAAGTTTTTACTCACAAGGGAACCACCCCAACCCGACCTCACCGATTTAAATGATTTTGGGATATGTTGTAATACTTGAAAAAAAATTAGATATGTGTTTTTTTTATCGGCCTATAAGGGCTTTTAAGGGGTGAAATCCACCCTGAAAATCAACCCCTAAAATCAGTTTTTTAATATTTCTCAGCATCAAATGAATATTTTTCAGTAAACTCAATGTTAAAAAATTTCTTATAAAAAGGCGCTTTTAAGGACATAACACTTATACCGAAGGGTTGCAACCCCCTTTTTAATAGGGGTAAATACACTATTTTTTGTACTGTTTTACGACATGTAATACAGTAAATCAGCTCGAGTGATTTAAAAATCGCACTGATAATGAGAAAATACCAAAATTAAATTGAAGTGTTTCCTGATTTAAAAAAAAATATATTTAAGGGGTGTTTCATCCCCTAGAAACCACCCCCGTCAAACTATCAGCAGGTTAATCCACCTAACCCTGGGATAAACAAGTTTAGTCGTTTGTTATTTTTTGAAATAATTTAATCTTATGCATGAGCGAGCTACCGCAACTAACCAACCTGCCTCTAACCCACCAAACCCCCATAAACCACGCTTACCCAACCAAATGTAGGCTAATAGACCTAACTTTGGAAGAATTGAGTTTATCAGTTGCTTTTTCTTAAAATAATTGATTTCTACACCGTACGTGGGGTATCCTATTTTTTTTTGATAAAATATATCTGTAGCTCAAACAATTTATGACAAATAAAAATATGTTTAATACATTTTATTTTAATAGTACCAAAATGGCGAGAAATATCTCTTAAAAATAAACACGAGAATAACACGAGGTCTAATTATCATTTATAGATATATACATATATATTTATATTCGTATGTTGATATATAAATATATTTACGTAAGAGCCATCGTACGTGATACTACATATATTTTGATTTTTCATAATAATTTTCATCTTTTTCTTTTTTTTATTTATTGGTAAATTAAAATGTATCATTCAACGAATTCCTTACAGAAATGATAATCATCGAAAAAGTGTTTGAACATAATGATCTTTTACACTAACCACACCATATTATAACAACATTTTTACATGCTTCTACTTCGCAATGTATATTGCAAGAATCTCCAAAACTAAAATCAACAGGGTTATATGTTTTAGCTGGTTTTTCAGCAATGTAGCTGCTTTTATACCAAGCGTATTTAAAAATATTTGTATATCTTGTTGAAGAAAGCTGGTTATGGACAAGAGGCTGCATTTTTATGATGTTATTTCTTAAATGTAGATTCATTTCATAGTCCATCAAAATTACTTGATCTGATAAACGTCGAACGAAATTTTTTCAGATACGAAATCTATAAACATCGAGTGGTTGGATGTTCCCTGTCGTTCCTATAGGAATTTTTTTTATATTAACAATTTTGTTTGTCGGCATCGTTTTCTTTACAGCTTTATCGCAATGTCCACTCCAAGAGTCGAGTAAAAGTGCAGATTAAGGTCCAACATTTTGGTAAAAAACTTCTTTCAACCAAATTTTAAAATGATCTAAAATAAAAAAATGTCAAAATTTTTCTGTCATTGCATTATAATAAACAAAAATATACTAACTTGTCGTTAATTTTCCAGATTTAGATGCTTCCACATGCACATTTTCTGGTCTAAATAATGAAGATGGGACCGAATTGACCACTTTTTTCTTTTAATACTATAAAAAGTGGTGATAAAAGTTTCCCGGTTGCTGATATAGTTGGCTGAATTGTATAACTGTGCGTTGTCGATGAAACCGACTGTACCAGACATTGCACCTGCTTTTCTCCTTCAACTACTAATGTTCTTCCCGAGTGCATTTCTAATTGGAAACCACTCTGATCTGAATTATAAAAGTTTGCAATGCCGATTTCTGGTATATATGATTTAACATCAGCTACAAAAGCATTAGCATTAGTTTGTAGTTCTTCTTTACTTTCTAATGTTTTTTTTGGTGATAAATTTATTTATTTTTCTAGATACTATTCTATGAGCTTTTTTAAGTTTTAGTAACCAATTTTGAGAAGCCTTAAATCTTATATCTTCATGGGCAACAATTTTTTGAGCTTGCAATGTCCATTCCCGTATATCTCGATCATGCACTATCGTACCAGCTGCAATAGCGGCTTTTAAAT